GGGTTAAAATAGCTGTCACTACAACATCAATCAAATCTCCTACGTCTTCTATTGAATTATCTTCATCTTATTCACAATCAATCACCAGTACATTACAATCAGTATCGAGTGGTTATATGCCAAGCGGATCATCTCTAACTTCATCATCAGACATTCAATCATCGCCATCATTATCCTCACCTCCAGTTGATTTACCCTGTGTGGGGCCAGTTACTGATAGCGAAGGAGATATCACTGATTTAAATTTTATAATCATGCCGAAAGGTTTATTGGACTTTGATACAACAGCCACTTCAAGTAATTCTAATAATAATAATAATGATAAAAAGACTTCAACAACAACTACCACCACCACAACTAATACAAATAGCAGTTCTAGCAATAGCAGCTCTGGTGGGAAGGAGGATAAAGCTAAAGACAAAAGAGGAGAGAGAGAAGGAGAAAGAGATGACAATGGAGGAAGAAGAGGAGGGGATAGCAATGAGAGAGGTGACAGGTCTGGACAAGATAAAGAGCAAACTAGTGATCAAACTGATGGAGAGAACCAGGAAACTAAAATAGTAGAAGAAAGTGAACTGCAAGGAAATGATGATCGGGGGAGTAGTGGGGAGGAACTGAGGGAGCTGCCTTCTTCAAATATGGAGGACACAGCAACTACTGCTAATGATGCAACTAATGAACAGTTGAAGTTATTAAAGGGACGAGCTGATAATTCTATAATTACTATTGATGATACTAATAATGATAAAGATGAGTCCGAGTTAACCGAATCGTTAACAAATGACTCGTGTATTGTCATTCAAAAAGAATCACTTATTGACTCACTTCAGCCATCACTAACTATTGATAGTCCCAATCTCCCATTCTCTCCTGAGAGAGAGGAAAAGACTCATTCTATAGAGACAGGCTCAGTCCTCTCTCCTGCTTTGTTAGCTAATGATAGCAGGATTGATAGTGCTCATACTTTGGAGGGAAACTGTACTGATACTTCAGCTGGTACACAGAACTCGTTTCGTTTGCATGTTTCTCCCAGTCAGAGTGCAATGGAGCCTGATGATGATACTGCTGTGTTTGTTATTGGTAGCAGTACTGAGTCTACTAAAGGAGATGTCCTCTCACACTCTCCATTGAAATTATCAAGTGATTCCATTCCCAGTACTACTCCCCCAGTACCAAGTCATTCCATTCCTAGTACCACTCCTCCAGTACCAGTGTATGAAAGTCTCCAGTTATCAAATACCGAAGTGTCTTCTACTAACTCCATGATACTCTCTACTAGTCCAATATCTAATGTTATCATAACTCCTCAAGCTGATGTGTCACAGACTAATTCATCAGGTGTGGTAGTGTATTAAGTTGTATTTAAACATATTTTGTTTGCTTTGTTATTTTTTGTAGGAACATTTGATTTTAGACTTCCTGACAGTGACATGCTGTTACCTACTGATGGTACTAGTGAAGCACATGTAGAAGATATGGAAACTGACACTGGTGACAATGACCAATGTAAATATAATGCATTATGTATAGATATGGCCAGTGCCGCCATATCTGTTAGTACTGATTGCAATCAAAATTTTGATTTTTTTAAGTGGCTCCAAAATTGAGCCAAAGTCCCTGTACTATATAGTACAGTGTCATCAGCCAAATTTTGCCAAAAATGACTAGGAGAGAATTTGTCATTTTTATAATTTTTTCTGACGCATATACATGTTCTTATGTTGTGTTTCAAATTTCAGCCAATTCCGCTCAAGTTTAAATTTTTTATGAATTTTTAAAGTTACTCTAAAATTGGGCAAAAGTCCCTGTACTATAGTACAGTGTCATCAGCCAAATTTCACCAAAAATGACTAGGAGAGAATTTGTCATTTTTATAATTTTTTCTGATGCATATACATGTTCTTATGTTGTATAGAATTTCTGAACTGATTCCTATCAAAATAAGATTTTTTATAAATTTTAAAAAATTGTTTATGTATTGTTTCAATTTACTGTTACTTTTAGCTACCAAAGAACAAACCAGGAGTAATGGAGTGGCAGAAACTAAAGGTCGATCGCCGGGGAAGTGCCTCTCATTACGTAGGAGAAGGAGCATGAGCTCTGGAGAAAACACTCCCAAGAAGCTGAAGCAAGATCAATCCACTGCTAAAGCTACCGATCCTTTACAAAGTGATACAACTATTGATTCTACTACTAATGGAGTGAGGAATGGCCAAGGAAATAAGGAAATAGATGGCAGTGGTAAAGGAGAGACAAGAAGATCAGATAGGACTGGAAGTACACTTGCATCTAAAAGTTCAGCAACTATAAGACCTACAGCATCACTTCGTACCACAGCCACAGGGTTTATATTAGGACTGACAGAAGAGGAAGGGGACAATTGTGACACTTTTGATGATAGCTCTCATTTCGAGTTGCCTCCTATTACTGCTTTGAACAGTGAATCAGAAGTCTCTCCTTCTGACATTTCTTTTACAAGTTAGTTGCTTTTATTACCAGGGGTGAACTTTAAAAAGACTGTAAAAAACCTAGCATTTTATTTATAGTCATGAATGTGCTGCTATATACATTAATCTTTTTATTTGATTTCACAGAAACTGATGGTGTCTCTGCTACTACTAATACTGGGCCTTCTCTACCACTAGCAGTTCCTTCATCATTGTTTGCTGGCCTACAACACACTAGAAGAAAAGACACAAGAAGGTACATGTATTTAGATATTCATATCGTTTAATAGGAATGATTTTTTACAGGACTGACCCGTATGAGTTCCAAGAAGAAGACAGCAATACTGACACACCTCTGTTTATGCCTCTTCGTAGAAGACAGGAGCCACAGACTTCATTAAACAATGCAATGGAAAGTGAAAATCCACTACCACTCTCAACTATAGAGGATGACACTGAGGCTACTGCTGAATCAGAGAAGGAAGGGGAGGCAGCGACAGTTACTAGCACTCCTGTTAGAAGAGAGAATATTGTAGTGTCTGGCTCTACTTCTCAAGCTCAGACTCAGGAGCTAGTTAATGCATCAACGCCTCTTACTACTCCATCTAATGTCAGTACCATTGCTTCTTCTGCTATGTCAAGTCTTCATTTTGTATCGCCTATCACCTGTTTGACGCCTCAAGGTGTTAAAGATATTTTTTCATCGAATCCTTTTTCTCCATTGATTCGCCTAAGACACAGTACCACAGTTATAACCTCTCACGTATTTATTCGTGATGAGATTATAGACAGGAACACCGAGAAAGTCATTCAAACTCTTGTAAGTAAATAACAGGAATGCTTGTACATGCGTTATGCATTGAAGAAATTTGGACAAAATAATTGTATTTTATCCCATGTTTATCTGTGTTTTATACTTTATAGGATCATGTAGTAGGACCAAGTGAGGAACGGAAGGTATCTATTGAAGCTACTCCTCTATCCTCAGCTCATGTACTGAACCCCATTCCTGCTCAGCAGTTATCATCATCATCATATGTGTCAACCCCTGGGATACCCTGTCCAGCTAGTATTCAATCAACCAGTTCCATTAGTCATGATCCAATGAATCCGCCTAGCATGAATAGCTCAGTTTATAATCAACCATTAAGGCATTCCATATCTCCACTCAGTGCTACTGCTTCTAGTCATGGTAAGATATTTCATGATGTAATAATGTAATTGGATAATTCCTCTCTATTCAATTCTTCCTCCTTGTTAGTCGTTAATTCCAGTTGTACAGAGAATCACCTCACTCCAAGTACCAGTGTCATCAGTTCGGAAGCAAGAAGTCAATCAACAACACCTACAGGTCGAAGTAGAGCTTATTCTCCTTTACGTTCTCAATCGCTAGACCTGGATTCACTTCCTAGTACTTTGCAATGTACTACTTCTTCAGTCGTTAAAAACAAGAGCCATCAATCTGGTTGGTTATTTTTGTTGTTTATTTATACATGTATATATCTTTATATTTCTTTTAGGTTTTAAACTAGTTGAGAATCAGAAGGTAATTGCTAGGTGGAAGGATGGCAAGTGGTATGCTGCCACTATAGTAGAAGTATCTCCTATCAAGGCATACCTTCACTTCTATGATGGAGACTATTCCTCAGTTTCTGTACAGCATATATTACCACTGGTGAGCATACATTTTATCATGCATGTACATCTATTGCATATGCATTGATTATGATATTTTATAGGCTTGTATACCACAAGGTGTTAAAGTATCAAGTGCTGATACTGATATTTCTGGTTCGTTGCTTGATTTCTCTATACCTGACTCAACCTTCAGGATGAAACTCAGTAACGATACTATTATGAAGTAAATAGCACTTTTACATGTACATATTGATGATGTTTATATTTTTTTATATCTATTTTTAGGTGCTCTTTGGAAGATTTAGTGATGACAGCTGACACAGCTGAAATGACTCTGCAGCTACTTAACACGCAATCAAAACAGGGTAATATTGCAATGAATATAACAATCATGAATGTCCATTTATTTATTCATTTGAGTGAATGAATACTTGTTGCTTTCATTCCATCAGTTTGGTATCCTTTACAATACAATTATTTGTTTCTTCTATTATTAGTTAAGAAAAGGAAGAAATCTGTGAGCAAAAGACCACAAAGTAAATTGCTAGTGTTTAATGTACCTGGACGAGCTTAATTTTTTGTAGAAGAAAGCCTGTCTCATAAAGAATCAGTCTTGTTTAGTGGAATGATATTTTTAGTGACAGATCAAAGAAGTAGTCAGCCCACCGGTATGTACTATCCTTGGATGCATACATAAAATAGTTTTGTATTATTATTTAACTAGGAAGAGAAGAAATTGAACAAATATTGAGAGACAGAGGTGGTTACATAATGGACGAATACAAACCTAACTTGGTAAGAGGGAGAGGGAGGATATGTGTAGTTATTGTTGCATGAAGTTCCCTATTCTGAGGTCCTGGTCTAGTTGTACAGCATATATTATGAACATTATAATCTCTCTATACTTTTACTGCAGGTCATAGATAATCGTACATTCTGTTTATCCAACACTTATTGTCGTACTCTGAAATATCTGACGGCCATAGCAGTCAGTTTACCTTGTGTTTCATACAACTGGATAATGGAGTGTGTTAAACAGGTAAACTCATAATGATATGATGCATTATAATCATTGTGATATTTCTATAGGGGAAAATTGTCAGTTGGGAAAAGGATTTCAGCCTATTAGCTGGTGTTTCTCCTTCAACAAAACAACAGATTAAATGGTAAACTTGACTGTACTGCTTTGCATGGCTTTATCATTTAAAATTAGGAAAAGTCATGCAACAGGTTTCTTGAAAGTTAATGTCTTCCTATCTGGAAGTAGGACATTCAAAGTAAGTACATGTGTACAGTCATACTATAATACAATGTACATATATCTACATCTCTTGTTCATTGCATTTTTAATATTCTTAGTATTAGCATAGCTTGTAATCGCTTTCCTTTACTTCTTTTGTCTGCCAACTGAAGCTTAAGAAGTTGTACGTCAATAACTAAACTGTTTATCTGGCAGATTAGCATATAGGATTATATATGGCTGCTATAAAAATTCACTTTAGTGATTACAAGAGTACTTTGCTTGTTATATATATGCTATCTGTTTGACTCTATATCTTGCTAATATAGGAAATTTGGCAGAAAGTTATATCATGTGGAGGTGGCCACGTGATAAGTAAGCTCCCAAGGAAATCAAGTAAAGGTAGGCTATTATTAAAAAGAATATTTTGATGATGTACACAATGACATTAGTCATGAAATATTGTAATGGTTTACCTCACCTGACCATCCTTATAATATTCTATAGAGTCTCAATTTACGATTGTATCAGAGAGTTCAAGTATCCCAGTCTCTCTCAAAGACTTCCTTGTTGTTAGCCCGGAGTGGCTTGTGGAGTGTCTTCTTGCTGGTAAGGTAGTATCGCCTGAACCATTTAAACGTTCATAATCATTCACAAGTACATGATGTTTATTCTCAATTTAACCATTATTCTTTATAATTGTTGGATCAAACAAGTTCAGATTTCACAATGTACATTGGCACAACAATGTAATTACTGTAATTAGTGATTGCTATAAGGTTATAGTGGGTGCATTGGAGGTTATAGTGGGTGCATTGGCAGCAGTACTTTGTTTACTAAAACTTTGCTGAGTTTGTGTTGCACGTTGTGTCTTTTGTGTGTGGAGGGGTGTTTTGTTATAAGTACCGTTCAGGCGCACAGGTGTTTAACTGCTGTGGTATGAAAAATGTTGTTTATTATGATTTTGCTGAGATCAATATTATGAATATTGTAATGGGAATAGATCTATGTGCTTACATTTATGTATTAAGGCATGAGCACATTATCCATCATGGTTTTTGAGTAGATTTGCACACTCTCATTGTTGTGCCTTTAAAGACTTAAAGTGGGCGTAATATATTTTGTGATATTGCTCTTGTTGATTTTAACACTTAAAATATCATAATAATAATAATAATCAATTAAAAAAATTTACAAAGGATAAAGAATGACATAGGTTTTATAGCTATAACATTACATGTACATTGCAGCTAATAATAATGTCAGCCACATTGAGTTCTAATGGAAAATCCTTTATCATTATTAGCCCTGTCAGTAAAGAAGACAACTAGGAAGGTTGTTGCTGGAATAAGTTCATTAGTACTCTCAATATCGCTACTGCATTTCTTCATAGAAGCATTACCATTGTAGACTAGCTGAACGTAGTCAGTGCAGGATTCTGTAGACTCTGCAATATCAAAGCTATCATAATGAACTCTTGCAGCATTCGTAGTACAAGTATTAAGGCTTATATTGTATACACAGATGTCACTGTTTCTGTAGTTCTTCTTTGAGAATCTTGGAGACTGTACATAGACTGCAGTTCTGTTATTGTTCTGATGGACAGTAACCAGTGAAGGGTTGCTGTTCCAAACTTTGAGCTTGCAGGCATTTGAACATCGCCTGTGCTTGAAACACCTGTAATCACTTTTAGAAAGTATCATTTATTGAATATGATAAATAATATGTACATACTTTATTGGAACTGATCCACCAGGCAAGCAAACCCCTCCATCTCCTTGCACTATCCCAAGAGAGTGGGCATCATATCCAGTACTAGGTGAGCACCATCCATTCAATGAGCAGGTCGAGACACAAGATGCGCTAATGTGGAATGATGCTAGCAGGATTATAAGAGATGATAGAGACATTCTGTAGTCTTTTAGTAGCTTTATTTCTTCTAATAACTTTATTTCTTCCAGTACTTTTTTATAGGAAAAAAAATGTGTTATCTAGGGGTATTCCCAGGGGGCAGTCCTTTTTGTTAACGTAGCTATAATGTGTTGATTTTATTCACGCACTGAGCCTTCTTGCTAATGAATAATGCTTTTCAATAAAAATTTATTTAAAAATCTAATTTTGATTGAAATCATTTCAAACTTGATAAGTCACATGGGAGCATGTATATATCTATCAGAAAAAAACTATGAAAATCAACTTAAGAGTTCTCTCCTAGTCAATTTTGATGAAATTTTGCCGATGCCCCAAGGCTGTAGCCTTTGGTGCAAAGCCAAATTTGGAATAACTTTTAAAATTTATAAAAAAAATTCAATTTTGATTGAAATCATTTCATTACATGAGAACATGTATATCTATCAGAAAAAATTATAAAAATCAAGAATTCTCTCCTAGCCAATTTTGACAAAATTTGGCCCATGACCCAAGGCTATAGCCTTTGGTGACAGCATAATTTTTTATTCAAAGTCAATTTGCTTTGTAATTTTGTAAATAGCTTATGAATGCACTGTCTTCAGTGTTGTAGTGGTTTAAAAGGACTTCCTGATCAATTAGAATTAGAGCAAGGAAGTGATGATAACTTGACCCCTGGACTCAACTAATGAAATGGATTAACAATATCATGCAGGGTGTGACTTCTGATGCTAATTGAGTAGGTAGATAAGAAAGCTACAGCATCATTAGCATATCCTGTTCTGTGTTGAGGAGTTGCTATGGCTGGTGCTACTGCATTGGAGGCAGGCCAAGGTTCCCTACACATTGGGGACACTGTTCTGTTCCTACTAAAGACTAAGGACTACTCTGGATATGTGTACTCTGAACTGTCAAGGTAACCAGAACTGTTTTATATTGTGACCATTTTTTATTATTATTTTTATAGCACTCCTTACAAATTTCTAACTGTTTACAATCTAGAGGATCAGCCTGAAAATGATCCTGCCTTTCCTAATGTTGCTTGTAAGTAGAAATTATTTAAAAGAACTGTAACATTTTGTTTTGTGGTACTATATGCATGTTATGTTTGGTAGTCATGCTCATGTTAATTCTTTATGTATTGACCTACAGTTGCTGCCTTTAAGATATTGGCACCAAACAAGTACAAGGCAAAGCAATACCTGAGAGAAGTCCAACAGTGAGTGATGCAAAATTTCCTATTTTACATGTAATGTTTTAATGCTATTAGGATGACTAACATTGAAGAATATGAGCTACTTAATGCAATTGTAAGTGTCTACACTGATTGTGACTTGTAATACATAATACATACTCCTTGTATAACTTTTTCAGGCTTAGGGATAACCCTGATTTATCTTAATCTGTGGTTATTGGCTCAAAATAGAAGCCTTTCCTTTGTTAGAGATCTTCATTAGCAAAATTGTATTATATTAACCTCATAATCATTATACAATGTTTATTATAGATATAGATATGCATGAAATGCTGTGTAGTCTATACCCTTATTGCCCTGAAGGTGTTTTCTCACACGCAGTTTATTGTACTAGCTGCAGTTTAATCAATCAAGAGTATCCATCCATTTACTTCACTTTTATCAGCTGTCAGTTTTGTATTAGCTTGCCTAAAGTAACCTCAAAAGAGCTTTTTTTAATCCCATCTGCCAACAGACCGTGTGACTATTTCCTTATTTTTGTAAATTGATTGATGTGGGTAATCTTTCCCTGGCTGTCATTCCTACCCTCAGGCTATATGTGTACCTACAATAACAACTAATATTCTAATCTATTCTCTAGCGTGCTGCTCAAACAGAAGAGACTGAGAATAGGCTAGAGCAACAGAGAAGGTTTGGTAACAAAGTTGTGTATGGCGATTTGATTCAAGTGAGTGGACTGCATGGATACATTTTAACAATTTGTCTCTTTTGTTATCCTCTTAAATTTCCTCTTGCTCTATTTCTTCTCATTTTTTACTTTAGCTTCAGCACGTTGCTTCAAAGATGTTTGTCAGAGTTTGTTCAGAAGCTTCAAAGACAGAAAGCAACAATTTACTAGTAGGGCATAAAAATTTCAGCTATGCAATTTTGCCTGTTTGTTTGTAGGTCAGTCTATCTGCTGAAAACTTTGAGGAGTGCATTTTTAAGATACTCCCACGCTACAAAGTTCGATCAGAAGGAGATGAGGTAAGTTGCACCCAATGCACACAACCATAACACAGATCATGCACATTTCATGATGTCAGTATTAAGAGTCCACACTATATACTGTTAAGAGTCCATGTAGATCATATCCTATTTACCCTATTATATTAGGTTAGATTCAATGATCAGTTAAAGATTGAAAGTGTCAAGAATCTTGGACAGTTCCTCCATTGTAGTGGACCAAGGCACACACTTGGTGCTGATGACAAGTTCAATGTCCTAGTAAACTGGTATGCTCAATTAAGTTGTTATTAAGATTCTGTTATTGTGTTTTACTATTTTTGTGTCTAGTTTTGAGCTAAATCTATCAGCTACAGAGTCAGCATTGACTCTGATACCACATTACTGTCCTTCTGTTAATAAACATCCTGATAAAGCATTAAGAGTAAGTAAGGGCTGGTGTAGACTAGCTTTTAATTATAGTAACCACAAGTATTCATTGAACCCTCTTATGTTACTAATGAAATATTACATCTACATAATAACTAATACTGTTTTATACTTTATTAATGTGCTTTTGATGTATATTTGTGTAGGCTGGTACTTGTGTGAGGTTGTTTCATAAAGAGGATGAGTGTTATATTGTTGCTGAAGGATCTTTTGCTGGAAAAGACAATGCTGTAGTTGAAGATGGTATGTATGTGTATGCTAGCAGATCATTAGTTCAATTGCAAGTATTAACACTCTTTACAGCAACTTTTGTGCATGTTATTATCATATACTTCTAACTTTTGTGTTAATTTGCTTAATTTTTGATGCATGTATTCTAGAAAATACAAAATATAGTGTATACAGTACATGGATTATTATTATTTGCATTTGTTTAGTTCATTGTCGATTGAGAAAAGTTGACTCAAGGAAACATGCTGCACCGTCAACATCTTCCAACACTTACTGGCAGATTGAGAAACAGGAAGACCCTAGAAGTGGTGAGTATAGTAAAAACAGGTGGAAAATCTTTTTAATGGCTGCTGTGTACATCATTCTCTCACTCACTCTCTTGTTGCTATTCTTTTTTCCTCCCTCTCTCTCTCTCTCTCTCTCTCTCTCTCTCTCTTATTCCTCCTATTTTCTCTCCTTCCCTCTCTCATTCCTCTTTCCTTCCATGTCTCCTTCATTGTTATTTCCTTTAGGTGATGTCATTGCTTGGAGAGATAGATGTAGACTCAAGCATCTACCCACAAGATGTTATTTGGCTGTGATAAAGGTTAACAGTCACTGGAAGGTAAACATTTCTCACAATCTCCCATAGTCTCTCTCCATGCTGCTTACTACCCTACCTCCGTAACCTTTAATTAGGTAACTCTCAAAGACAGCACCAGTGAAGATGATTTGGATACTATCTTTAGTTTCTCTCCTCTTATAGAGGTGTGTATAACTATTGGTAGATACTACTATGATACTTATTTATTATTTAAAATAATGGAGTCATATTGATGGGGGCATTACACCCCTTCAAAAATTTTGATTTGGATGTTCATCTATCACTAGTTGACTGGTAACCTCTTCCAATTATTATTTCTGTTTAAATAGCTTACATTTTAGCTGAGGCTATTGTGGGTTGGATTCATTGTTATCACAGCTGACACATTGTTATTACAAATACAGCTGCTATAGTCTGTTGATGTACTTGTGTATAATAATTTGTAGGAAGTTGATGAAGTCTTGTTAGAGTCCTATGCTCTCATTAAGCATCGTCTCAGTGGGCAGTGGCTTCACCTAGAAAAGAAAAGTATTTTTTTACTTTATCTTGTATCACCCTAAGTCTCCTATTAGGCCATTATCAGAGAACAGGGTTTGATCCTACTGCTGTTGGTCTAGCTGGTCTACAATGGGACTCAGCTGAACTATTTGTGGTAATGAAACATCATATAGCCTTCTTATTCATTATTATGTGCATCATAGCTCACTACTAGTAAAGATAAGGGGGATTATGACTCATTCACATTACAAGAGGTATGGTATTACAAGTGTGGTTCCCCTTTGACCTTTGTTATTCTCTTATGGTACTATTAACTATTAATTGGCTTGTGTAGGTCACTGAAGATTTAGTTGACAGGTTTAATTATGTTGCTGGTATAGTTCCTGTCCTTACAGGATACATTAAACAGGTTTATATAGTAATGCACTATCATTACTATAGATTATTATATTTATAGCTTCATAATAAAGGAGAGCTCAAGCAAAAGCAGGCAGTACGTGTGAGAGATACACTTAGAGATTTAAAGAAATGGCTTGTTGCTGATAAAGAGAGGAATACCAAAAATAATCAAAAACTGCTAAGAAACTTGAGGGTGAGTATGTAATACTTTACTACTTGAGGTCTTATTTAATATTGTTAATTTTATTAAAAGGTTATTGAGCAACTTGCTGAGATTCTTAGTTTTGCTGAGGCTGAAGAATATAAAGAATCAAAGTACATGCTCATGCATTGTGTATCTATCAAATTTTCTCTCTCTCTCTTTCTTCTCATCTCTCTCAGTCATCATGTTAACATTTGTCGTGAGTGTTACAATGTCATAAGGAAATTTCTTGAAGGAGATAGCCGCAAGAATGAAAACTATCTTGCACATTTCATTGAATTCTTTCAGACTCATGTATGACATTAATAATAATTATGCCCTCAGTTGACAAGTGTTCTTGTTTTAGGTAAGGAAAGGCCTCAACGCAGAAGAAGTACTAGTTGAGATTGTTCAAGACAATATGTAAGTACATGTACATGCATGTTCATATACTAATATCTTTCCTGTATTACAGTACCATTGTGTCAAGGATGGCAGACACACAGTTAGGACACATGATTGAACAGTTTGTAAAGACAGAGGTAATAGCATAACACGGCCCATATAATCTAATGAACTCATGACTTACATGTACATGTATGAGTATATGTATAGTATAGATGAGTATGTATTTCCTTCTTTTATCTAATGTGATTAAGCATACCTACATGTATCTGTTATCTTTAATCTTGTTATGGTATCTTTTGTAGGATCCAAGGTTTCTTGATTTCTTAGGTTCACTTTGTGTGTGTAGCGATAGACCTATTCCATCAACACAGAGTAATTGAAGAGTGTTTTATAATGCATGTACATGTACATTTATTGCTTTGTATTTTTAGGTCGTTTGTTACATGAACTGATAGAGAGGCATGGAAATGTTAGTACATACCATGACCATATAGTATAGAATATTATTATTATAAGTTTATTATTAATTAGGAAAAGCTCCTAAGAACTAAACTAGACAAGGCTAATGGGCAGATTTATTTTTACCATCCTTCTGCACCTACGAAGCTTACTTCGCTCAAACAGCTTGGAACTAATGAGAATAGAAGAAACAGGGCCAGCATTTATGTACAGAAAGATTTTAAAGTAATGTGTAACCATGTACAGTAGTGAAATGTACTTGATAAACTTTTATAGAACCATTACTATCTCCTTAAATCACAACTATACCTTCTGACAAGGTTATGCCAAGTATGTTAATATTTTTATGATAGTTATGATTAATATTTGTGTGTGTGATAGGGAAACAACAAAGAAGCTATAAATGCATTGGTTTATACTGAAGAGAATCCTAACGGATATATTAGCTTTGACGAAGCTCTCACTTGCGTTAAGGATTGTGATATTGACACTGATATTAGATCTCATTACATTGAACTGATATTGGTCATGTTTGTTGATTTTGGAGAGAACAGATCATTCCTGGATAACCTGTGCTATTCATTTGTAAGAAAAATAAAAAACTAATGATGATATTCTTACACTAATAATTATTATTTTGTATAGATATATGAGGAACTTGTCCCAGTTCCTTATTCAGAGTCTGGTGATAGTCAAGTGAAAGCATTAACTGGAGCAGAGAACAAACACTTTCCTGACATTAAGGACTGGATACTCACCACCATATCTGATAACACTGTATGCTAATGCACACGTACATATTGAAAGAAAAGCATTTCATATCACATCGTCTTATTTTATAGAGACTCCGTTGTGAGTCTGCAGAGAATCCACTGCTAGAACTGGTACTAGATGTATTGGGACATTTGGTTCGTTATGGCTACTATGATGATATTGACGATGTCGATCAACTCTTGGGGCCACTCACTCAAATGTTAGATGGAAGAACAGATATACCATCAGCTAGAAAAGGTAAGAGATTATCAATAAGTCAGCAATTATATTAAATATATTTCTGTACAGTGTCTGAAGTACAATTTAAGTCATCAACTCGTAAGAAAGATAATCCTGAGAATAGAGATGTCTTTAGTGTTAAAATCAAGTAAGGAATTAGATTTTTTGGCATTACAATGCATTATATTGCACATTAGAGCATTGGAAGTAATGGAGCTGTTATATCGATTCAAGTTTTATGTTAAACTTCAAGTTAGCATTGAATTATTATCTCTAAGGCATACTATCTTTTTCTCTTTCCCTCTACTCCTCCCTATTATCTTTTAGAAATTCATGCATGATTTTAAGATGATACAAAGCTCCTTAAAAAGGACCAGGATAGGAGGTGTACTCAGTACTGATCCACGCGACATTCTTGCAAAGCTAGTGAAAATAGAAGCAGATGAGGAGAGTGGTCCTAATGAGAAGTGCTACTCGCCTGATATAATGAAGTAAGGGATTTGAAATATTAATTTTAGTAATAAGAAGAAAGGCACACTATATTTCAATTTTCACAAGGCCATTATATTATATATATTTTTACCTGCTAGTGTTGTTCAAGAACGTATCAAGTTTTTGTGTGATGGTAATGTTAAAGGAGGAGGATTTGCCCCTCCTTCCAGTGGTAGTGATGACGATTCATTAGAAACGGTACTGTTGGATCTATCAGGATATGACTGCGATGAGCTTGTAACCTCATCGCTCGATCTTTTGACTCAAATGTATTTCTTTGAAGAGGAACTATTTAGCAAAGCACAGCAGGTGAATTATATTATCTGCATTGATGATCCATTGTATTGTATTTAATATTTTTGCTAATTTAAATTCTTGCTTCATCCAATTATAACCTTATATGGTACAAGTACTTTTTATATTTTAAAAAGGTTTTTTTTAATTTCATTTGTTATCTATGTGTATATGAAATATTTCTTATCATTAGAGCCAATTGTTGACATCAACAGAATCACTGAAGGACTTTTTGACAGTTAAAGATGACATACTACCTAAACTGAGACAGCTACTACGCGTTGATACTAACAGATCAAACCAAGAGAAGATCGTGTCACTTCTCAGACAGTTACAGTCATTATGTATCCTCCCAAATTCAGTTCTGCCAAACAAACAGAACCAGATCATGTTAGATAACTTTGGTAAGTTAAGACAGATGGTAATATAACATGCCTTCTTCATTATTTCTCTCTAGGTATTGTATCTGATGTTATGAGTTTCCTCCTTGAGAAAGGTGACAGTGGTATTATAGTATTAGATCAAGATATTGAACCAGCCACACCAGGTTAACATGAATTATGCAGATATATCATTATTATTATCATTATTAGGAGGAACTCTTATTTCAGTTGGTGAAGAAGTATTTCATAGTTGTTTCACTCTTTTGCAGCATCTCTGTATTGACAATTTGAGTGTAAGAAGATCACAATGCATATACATTACTATTCAAAGATGAGAGGATGGTTCATAATGTTCATGTATTAATATAATAGGTAAAGAAGAGGATATTTAATAGACTTGATGACTTGCTTGAAATGAAAATACCGGTTACAACATTATCGAGTTTGGCCGATCTAATCACTGAGGTGAGATAATAATAATATACAGCATACATTATACACTAATGTGGAGTACATGCATGCGTGTGTATGTGTGTGTTTGTAGTACTGCTATTGTGATTATTATTATATTGAATGTAATACTTTCAATGTGTATTATATCACTGGTTTATTTGCATGTATAGGTTTTTACTGGTGGTCCAGAATTAATCCTGAAAGTGACTGAGTATCATGTTGATAGGATATTTGATATTATCATTACTTGCGATGAACCTACTGCCCAGGCTCAGTTCATGGTTACACTAGAAGCTATAGTTAAAGTAGGCATTGTACTTTGTGATTAGATTATATTACTATAGTTTCTATCCACTCTTTGCATTTCTCTCATGTTAATTATTCTTTTGTAGATAGAAGAGGTCGATTTACCAGTTGGGCGAAACCAAGCAATCATCATTAAGAATTTTTGTCGATTCCGCGACACGTTTTGTCCTGATCTTTTAGGAATCAGCAAATCCATGGAACAGTCTCGAATGGAAATATTGAATTCTGTTAGTAATAAGGCCGCCTTTTTTCTCTAGAAAATTTGTATTTATCTGTTTCTTTCAGAGTGCAGAGTCACCAGATCCTAAACTGCAGCTGTTGCTCAATGTGACTGACATGCTAGCAGCTTGTGCTGAAGGAGAGAACCTCTTTGTTGAGTCTGTGTGTCAGAATATCTATAGAGTTGAAGAGCTAGTCAAGTGTGTTCATGTATTTAGGAATATTGGAATATTATTATAAATCACACCCCCTTAATGCATATTGATGCCCTTATACTATGTGGAGAGTTTCAGCTGTGTCCAACAAATAATTTTCAAGTAATAAGCATTTTAAAAACAAGCCAATTTTTGAAAAAAAGCAAAGGCTATAGCCCATGGTTTTTTCCAAAAAATGGCTCCGAAATCACCCCCAATTTTTATTACATTTTCTGATACATATTGATGTCCTTATGCTGTGTAAAAAGTTTGAGGCGATTTTGATAAGAAATTTTTGAGTTATGGTCATTTTAAGAAACGGGCCGTTTTTTGAAAAATACCCAAGGCTATAGCCCATGGTTTTTTCCAAAAAATGGCTCCGAAATCACCCCAAATTTTTATTACATTTTCTGATACATATTGATGTACTTATGCTGTGTAGAAAGTTTGAGTCGATTCCAATAAAAAATTTTCGAGTTATGGTCATTTTAAAAAAACGGGCCGTTTTTTGAAAAACACCCAAGGCTATAGCCCATGGTTTTTTCCAAAAAATGGCTCCGAAATTACCCCAAATTTTTATTACATTTTCTGATACATATCGATGTCCTTATGCTATTTTGAAAGTTTGAGCTGTTTCCGGCGAATAGTTTTCGAGTTATGAGCATTTTAAAAGTCAGCTAATTCTGACCAAATTTGGATTTTTTACAAAATTGCTTAATAATGTCATGTAATAGTAATAGTGCAATTCTTCTGATTTCATGGACTTTAATAGTACATACATTGTACTTCTATCTACTTATAATTATTAATTTATTATTATTAATTATTATTATTATTATAGGATTGTTAGCAGTCATCTTGCTCACATTCGTAAAAGGCCTTTTCTTCGTTACCTTATATGGGCTTACATGAACACTGAATCAGATCAGGTCAATTCAGAAGGACTTGAGTTGAGTCATGGAGAGTAAGTCAATTAATTATAATAATAAATGATAATGATAGTAAAATAATTGTGTATTTTTATCCATGCGCAATTATTATAAATAATTATTTTATTTTTTTAAAGGATAATGTGGATTTATCTGGAGCATATTGCTGACCTTCTTGACAATGTGTCTAAAGTCCTCAGTGCTGCTTCATCTGGTGAGATTGAAAGCTTAAAGCATGAGCTCCAGACAGCAAGACGTAGGAACTCAATGTCTTCCTACTCTTCCACGCCATCAGGAATACAGTTATTAAAACTAGGCTCTGTTAGAGTACCTGATGTCACTGGTAAGAAACCAATGCTTGTACTAAATTTCTGTGTCAAAAAGTATTAATAAGTAGATCGATTATGGTTTATTGTCAGGCTTGTGAGCTATAATATTTCAACTCATAATACTATTTACTTTTTGTTTTGTTTCTTGTAGATACTCAAGGTCATCTTGTGCCTGGTCTGCTGGAGTATCTAGCTGATGGTGTTATCCCATTGCTGCACACTTTCTATTCTCATTTCTTTGATCCTTCAACAACTTCCAAAGAAGAGCAGAGAGAAAACGAATACAACATTTCAGCAAAAATTGCAAAATGTCTAATGGTAAGAAATTAGTATTTTGCTATCATATTACATTATTCCTGTAGTATTTGAGTAAAGACCTGATAGAAGTTTTCTGCAGTAACAAGAACTTGTACATGTATCAGGAAACCATTACTGTATTGATGGGTCACATTGAGATAAGAGAGAGAGCTGATGTCACTGATGAACAAACAAAGTCTACAAGAGAAGCTATTGAAGGAGCAGCACCAAAGACCAAATCAAGCAGTCTTAAAAGACTTGGAAAGATTGTCTCACAGACTGATGTAAGCATAATGCTTTATAATTATTGATTTTAGAAACTTTTTTAGGAGGAAGTTTTGGAAGGATATATGGAGCAAGAGAAACTTAATGAGTTGTTTAACAGTTATTCACGAAACTACCATTGCTCCTACATGGGACCTAACACAGCTATTCATCAGATAGAATCAACCATACAAAAAATTGGTATATAAGTACTGTATATACACACATGTTTAAGAATGCAATATGGCATTCTAATTTACAATTATAGATACTACAATGCATAGAAATGGAGAGACCAGCATATTATTATTATTATTATTGTATTTATAGAGTATAGTGATGAAGGTGAGGAGCTGCCCCTTGGCCCTTCTTTTCAAAGACTTGTAAAGCTTTATCGAATCAAGTTAGTTGCTAGCAATTGTATAGATTGAGTTTTATTGTATAACTATACAGTCCTTCTCAAACTTCAGACAAGCAGCAGCATCCAGCCGAAAGACTATTAAGACAATTAGAGTAATTTATTATTGTATACAAGGCTATACTGTTATACATGTATTTTATGTCATGTTTTAATATGTCATTGTTTTAGGATTTCAGTTAGCCGTACTGATCAATTAGGTGAAGCTGAGCAAATCGATCAGGACAATTTGGATTTACGTTGTCTACAAGTTAGCGCTGATTTGGATCAGTCAATGAGATATCAGCTACATATATATTTGATATTTTAGATACTTAGAGCATTAATTCATAACAGAATCAAGTTTATTGATCCTGAGTTAAAGGACAGGGATCCTTGTGAATTTAGAGAGTCAGTGATAGATGAAATTAAATAAAGTTTATCTATTTCATGTATCTTCTTCACTTTTAGGAAATGTGATCAGCACGTTGTTCCAGTTCAGAACTTTATCCAATCATTCAAAAATGCCATAAGTCGTGTACGTATACATGCACTTTTGTAGTGCAATATCTATTGTGTGGAAAACAAAGTTAATTTTTTAAATTTCCTTGCAGGTGGTTCCCTTACTATCTCATCCTAATGAGAGCATATCTAGGGAAGCACTGGCACTGATGAAGGCTCTTCTGTTCTCTGGTAATGAAGAGGTACAGGAAGGACTGGCTGCTGATATGAAAGACTCAAGGGAAGAGAAACTGTTCTCTAATTTGAAGGAAAGACTTGAAATTGCTAGCCTCAATTATAGAGAAACGTAAGGAAAACTCCTGAGTGGTTCTTATATGATTTATTTATTCATTTTTATTTAAAGTGTGGACTTGGAAGCTCAGTTAAGACGAAGACAGCAATTTAAGAAGAAGTCAATGGTAATGACAGGTTTTTCACACCAAAAATATAAACTTTTTCCACTATAGCCTGGCCCTGTCTCTACTAAATCTGCTGAGAAACTTGGTGGAGTTGAGACTGTAAGCTATCATCAACAATAATTATTTTAAAGATATAATTATTATTTTTTGGTAGAGTGTGACATTTACTGTTGGTAAAGAAGTGATGATACCAATGGAAGAAATAGGTATGTATTGAAGAGTAGAATGATACATTAGAATAAAGAGAGAGAGAGAGGGAGAAAAGGCTCTGTAACAGTGCAATCACACATAGAATGATCAATTTATACAATAGATGGAACCAGTGAAGATGAATCTCCTCTAATAACAGTCAAATCTCCAGGCAGAAAAGTAAGTGAAGTAATTTTTTACCTTTATATACATGTGTATATATTTTTTATTTTTATTAGTTGACTAAAGCAATCTCTACTTCCTCAGAATGCGGCATTGGACCAGCAAAAGAGATTGGTTTCAATTTGTTATCCAACATAATAAAACGGGATGCACTGTGGACTAATCTAGTACTAGAAGTTATTGGTCTCATGTGTGATGGACAGAATAGGACACTACAGGATTACTTAAGAGAACAGCCTGATAATTTCAAAGTTGGTGAACATTTTGAGCACATCATTAAAAATTAAAATTATTATATTTTTTAGACTACTAATGTAGTCGCTGAAGTTGTTGCTTTCCTTCACACATTTACTGCTGACATGTCCCGCAATAATTTTGAGCAGATTGGTGCTATACTCCAGTCATTGGTTGAGATGTGTGTCGGTAATATCAAAAACCAACAGATTGCATTTGATAAGCTTGTACTGGACCCTCTCAACAGAATACTCCAACTTCAGTTTAGGGGATATGACGTCAGTAATGATGATGAAAAGGTATTTTATGTGTATAGGGTTTTTGATAGTCTTTCCACTTGTCACTATAGAGTGAACGTCTATTGCATCTTGTTCAAGTTAAAGGGAGTGCTGTTGAGTTGCTTGATGTCATGCTGGAAGAAATCAGCCCACAGACTGTTAGTGTTGCAAAGGTAAGCACATCTTAACTTCATCCAATAGAAGTTATCAGTAGTATAGTAGAGTGTACATGCTCATAAATAAGTACTGTATGTGTATGTATTAGGGTATTGGATCATCACTTGATATTGAATCCTTGTTGTCTACTATGGACATGTTCTATCAGTTGAAATCCCATCCGCTGGTCAGGAGGGAGCAGATGGATGATGATTGCGAGAGAGGACTCTATAAAACCTACCAAGTCCTTGTTACTCTAATAGACTATAAAGCCATTGATATAAAGAACAAGAGTGAGTTATATATCAGTTTTAAATGTACCCTGTGCTATAGTACATTATCTATCAGTTTTATACAGTACATGATCTTTAGCCTAATTTCGAACAACTCTTTAAATTAGTCAGAATCAGCTCAAACTTGATACATAAAAGAAATAAAAATGAAGACTTTTCTTTTTGAAATTTTAGAGCAGCTAAAAGAGAAAGCAGAGAAGAAATGCAAGGATGCTTTTAACAGTTGTCTAGAGTCCTCTCATTCAATTGAAATCCACTATGAAGAGGAGGGAGCTAAGCCAATACTGGCTAGGATACACTTTCCGTATAAAGCTGAACTGAGAGATGAAGTGACCGAATTGGTCCGTTGGAACATTAACAGAGACTCAATGGAGGACAAGCAAAGAGCTTTAGTTGATTTGATGCCAGCACTGAAGAGAGATGTACTCCATCAAGTATGTAGAAGAATGTTGTATGTACTGGTACTATGTAAAGCATATGAAATGTAGAGAGTCCGACTCAAAATTAAAAATTTAATTGGGCAATGGGAATATGCATACTGACATGCAAAACTATTTGCAGATATAGCTGTGAAATTTGATATTTATTGTTATTTTTTTATTTATTTTAGACAAAATTAAAAGATACAAAGATTATGAAGCCTTTCCTTGCTTTTCAGTAAGTGACTCAATCCACTGTCCTCTATATACAGGCCTTTCACACTATAGTGCACTCAGGACTCGTTTACTGATACTACTGACCATCATATTGAACCTTTTTATACTCTTTTTGTATGCAGTGCCTGATAGAGCTAAAGGGAATAACAGGTAATTCCTTATACCTGAAACACTATTGCAATCTATTCTCTCTCACAGGCCATTCTTGCCTGATTTCCCACTGTGGTTCACCATTGTGTTCTACGTCCTTGGGGCAGGGCATTTATTGCTAGCACTTTGGATTGTTGTGGAGTATTTCATCATTAATTGGCCTCACTTTAAGCTCCCTACATTTGCCTATAATGCAAGGTTCATTTCTCTTCCTTATTATAAATTGAAAAGCTGCTATTACTCTCTATAGGGCTAAGATTGGTAAAGCTATTCGTAAGGATGCAGATACATATACTGTCCCACGTATGACTTGCATTGACGTTGGTATATTTAGCATATCGACACTGTACATGTTGCTGTTCCTCGTTTGCTCTATTCTCTCTCTCGCCTTTAAAGGATATTTCTATTGCTTTTGTCTCCTCTTCATTATTGTTCATAATGATATATTGAAGAGGGTCCTTCGAGCTGTGACAAAGAATGGTAGGTTACTTTTTGCTTTTTTCTTTACTTTTAAAATTATAATTTTCTCTGTATTCTTCCATTAGGTATGTCACTCATCTGGGTTGCTGTTCTTGGAGTCATCGTCCTGTTCATATATGCTGTCATTTCTTTCGCGTTTCTTCAAAATAATTACGTTAGGACGGACGATGCTGCACTCTACTGTGCCAACCTTGGTCAATGCATGTACTCTGTTCTAAGATATGGCTTAACTGATAATCTTGGACTGGTAGGTTCAGTTAGACTATTATCATTTTTCTATCTTTTCTCAGTTGATTCCATTTCAAAATGATGGAGAGGCTCCCGAGAATTTTGATACAAGAACTTTCACAGCTCGCTTGATTTTTGATCTCTCTTTCTTTATCATTGTAACGACCATTGGACTCAACATAGTCTTTGGTATAATTGTCGACACTTTCTCTGAGCTAAGGGAAGAAAGAGTGAGTTTTTTTCAAAGAGCGTTTTATCATTTATTTTTATGATGACATTGTTGTACACAGAATAATATTGAGACAGAGCAGAAGAGCAAGTGTTTTATATGTGATCTTCCTAGCTATGATTTTGAGAGAAGAGCTAAAGTAAAGTTTTAATTGTGCATTTGCTCAAAATGATCATTTATATCCTTCATTTTATTGCTTCTTTGTCTCTTTTAGGGTTTTTCTGATCATGTAAAGCACGATCATAACATGTGGAAGTATGTCTATTACTCGTTGTATCTTGATAGCATTGATACTGGTGATCACAATGCCATTCAGAAATATGTCTATGAACTGGTAAACCTATAACAATAAAGCTATGGATAGTTATTCTTTTATCATGTACCAGATTGGCAATAATGATACTGCATTCTTTCCTCAAGAAGAAGCTCGTTGCCTGATTGGTGAAGAAGATACTACAGGAGAGAAGATTGATGAGTTGGAGCAGAAAGTAGAGAAGATACTCCGCCACTTTAGGGAGAAGGAGCACAAGAAGAGTCTTAATGTTAAGAGGCAGGAGCAGACTAGGTGGGAGCAGGAGGTTCTTCATAAAACTCGAGACACTCGCCACATTAGCTTTCTCTCACCTTCTCCATCTATTTCTTTTGATAAACAATAACAAGCTAAAAGTAGTGAACTGTCAGTAGTTAGCAAATTTTATGTAAACAAAATTATATTTTCAATAGGCAGATTTTTTACCAATGTTTTTATTTTATGATACATCCAGCAGATTTGCTCACCTTATTAATAACTGATGAGTTTTAAATTTTACTTTTAGGACTTATTTTCTGAAAAAATTAATTTTAAAATAGCTTTCTCTGGAAATTTTCTGGGAAAATTGATTTTCCCATGTATTTTACTGGGAAAATTAAGTTTCTCAGGTAATTTTCCTGGGTTATTGACTGGGATAATTAGATTTCTGGGAAATTTGCCAAGAGACTATTTTTCCTGGAAATTTGCAGATAAGCTTTATTTTTCCTGATAAATTTGCCAGGAAACTTTATTTTCCTGATAAATTTGCCGGGAAACTTTATTTTCCCCCGGGAAATTTGCCTGCAAACTATATTTTCCCGGTAAATTTCCCGGGAAAATTTATTTTTCCCGGTAAATTTTCCGGGATTTTCACCGTAAATTTTCCGGGAAACTTTATTTTCACCGTAAATTTGCCGGAAAACTTTGTTTTCCCCGTAAATTTGCCGAGAAACTTTATTTTCCTCGGTAAATTTACCGGGAAACTTTATTTTCCCCGTAAATCTGCCGGGAAACTTAATTTTCCCCGTATATTTGCCGGGAAACTTTATTTTCCCCGTATATTTGCCGGGAAACTTTATTTTCCCCGTATATTTGCCGGAAAACTTTATTTTCCCCGTATATTTGCCGGAAATTTTTATTTTTCCCCGGTAAATTTGCTGGGAATTTTTATTTTCCCCGGTAAATTTGCCGAAAATTTTTATTTTTCCCCGGTAAATTTGCTGGGAATTTTTATTTTCCCCGGTAAATTTGCCAGGAAACTTTGTTTTCCTGGTAAATTTGCCGGAAATTTTTATTTTTCCCCGGTAAATTTGCCAGGAATTTTTATTTATCCCGGTAAATTTGCTGGGAAACTATTTTTTCCCAGGAAATTTTTTCCTTTGAAGTGATGCTTGAATGTGTGTTCCACCAAATGTCATTCTGCAATCATAATTCACAGTGGAAAGAATTAATATTAAGAAAAAATAATGTAAAACACAGTCAATTTAACTAATTTAATAATGACGACAGTGCAGTACAAAGTATTAATAATAATATAATTTCAAACAGACACACCGACAAGGGACAGGAACAAAACAAAGGAATAGACTAGAATGAAACTGATGCAAATAGTAATCACCATCATTAATAATAATAATAATAATAATAATAATAATCTATTACAAATTATAAGCTACATAAATAGGGTCCATCTCATCAGCTAAGAAAGTATCACGTAAGTGTATTCTCTGTTTCTCTCCTCTTGAGTTAATTGGTATAGTTCCAGGATCAGCTACAACAACAATACCAGCCACCACTTGGTGTTCCTCCAATAGTGAGGTAGTTATGACTGGAACTAGGTCAAGGGCTTCATTCTCATCTCCATTCAGTTCAGCAACTACCACAAGGAGTTTGTTTGATGTGAATACAACACTGCAATGAATGAAAGAGAGTACAACAATGCATATTTAATTATTAGTAGAACAGCTTAAAAAGACAATTATTAGAGCAGTATTAAGTCTATGAGTAAATGATAGATTGACAAACCCATTGATGATGTTCTTGTGACAACGAATGACCGTAGCTTCAAGATCAACAGGATGATAGCGATATCCTCTGACAGTCAATGACTCATCAACACTCCCAATAACAAACAAGTTATTAACAGCTATTAAAAAAGAAGAGAGAGAATAGAAAGGGAGAGGATGTATCCTTTACCATCATGTGCTTCATCTCTCGAAGCTGAAGGCATCATGAATCCAAGATATCCAGTCCTTGCATACGTAGCGGTCATGTCAATTCCACCAACAAGTGTTGCTTTAAAGTGCTCTTGAGTCAGGGAATCGTTCACAGAATCTTTAAGTCCATAATAGCCAATGCCATTGTGAATACACGAGACCCAAATCTGAAAAAATTGAAGTAAATAAAATGCTTGTAACTCAAAAAATATTCGTTGGAAACAGCTCAAACTTTCAACATAGCATGAGAACATCAATATGCATCAGAAAATGTAATAAAAATTGGGAGTGATTTTGGGGCCATTTTTTGGAAAAAACCATGGGCTATAGCCTTGGGTATTTTCAAAAAACAGCCCGTTTCTAAAAATGACCATAACTTGAAAATTTTTTTATCGGAATCGATTCAAACTTTCTACACAGCATAAGTACATCAATATGCATCAGAAAATGTAATAAAAATTTGGAGTGATTTTGGAGCCATTTTTTGGGAAAAACCATGGGCTATAAAACGGCCCGTTTCTTAAAATGACCATAACTCGAAAAATTTTTATCGGAATCGATTCAAACTTTCTACACAGCATAAGTACACCAATATGTATCAGAAAATGTAATAAAAATTAGGGGTGATTTCGAAGCCATTTTTTGGAAAAACCATGGGCTATAAATGCAGTAATAATAATACATACAATAAAATACAAGTTGTACATGTTATATTAGACAAAACTCACTTCTCCAATCTCAGTATGGGCACAAGGAGTCTTTGTCTCTGGGTTGACAATGACAATTTGACATCCATTGACAATCTGTATAACATGTAAATGAGCATAAGTACCTCAAAATGATCATTAAAATGTAGAAATACATGTATACACTAATCTCTGTGTACTGACCTTAGCAGACTCTGTGAGACACATACTGTATGGTGCACCTTTTTCCAGCACAACCATTCTACATATATTAAATAAGAACACAATGAAACAGAGCAACATAAACACAGTAAACAATAAGCCATTACCTGTCTAATCTCAGTGCCCTGGAGTCCACGTACACACTGGAACTCTCAGGCTGCCTTGGACCCTAAAATACAATAAAAAAGATAATAATGATACAATAATAATAATAATAATAATAATAATAATAATAATAATAATAATAATCAGTTTTTTGTAAGTGAGCTAGGCTATAGGCTATACACCACAAGGTATTACTCCGGTAATTCATTATTAGTACTAATAATTATAATGATCATTATTTATAATTGCTATGAACCTGGAAGCAGATCATTGGATTAACGCGGCAGCCAAAAGCAGCAGAGACGGCTCTTGAAGGGAGTCCCACAATACCAAAGAGAGTTGAGAATGAAGTGATCAGTTGAGTCCTTGGCCTCTCCTCACTAACAATGACACAGGACCTGAGAGATGATAAATTGATATTCTTGCTCTAGAGAAAGAGAGAGAGAGGAAAAAATGAATATTAAAAATGATGATAATTGATATAAACTGACTTGAAGTGACTCGATAGAGTTGCCCAGTTCCCTCATACACAAATCAACAACAGAATAAGAGCAATATGTGTCACGTACTAGGGAAAGAGAGAAAGAAAGAATAAGATTAATAGAATAATATGCACATGCATTGATACATGATGTAAGTTTATGACTCACTTTTCCCTGAGCTAAGTACAGTTAGCCATAGCATTGGGTTAACTTCAAGATCATAAGGATTGATCAGGACTGTAGTATGACCAGCATAAACACTAATACATGCATACATAGAAAATTGATCAGAAAAGGGAGAAAGAGAGAGAGAGAGAGAAAAAAATTTGATTTAAATAAAAGAAATACTACTGGATTACATACCCAGAGAAACACCACAGAACTAATCCCAGTCCGGAATAAGGATCAAGACAGAGTGCAATGTCTCTTGATGGATATAATTCAGAGCAATATCTGTGAGCCCTACACATACTCAATACTGCAGCATGAGTTATCTAAAAAAATAAAATATACAGACGATTATTTATTATAGCTGTTTAATGCACAATCACACAATTATACTCATATTGTTACACCTGAAAGTACATCATTACTTCCCGCCTTTTAAAATTAAAATACATATACATGTACATGTGCGTATGCCCTTTCTCTTACAGACTCAGGGAATTATAGTATACTAGACTATAGTGCTTATATTGTCTGTATAAATGTGTACAGAATATACCTTCACTCCAGATAGGACACCAGTAGTGGACACAGCAAAGTCAAGGTATGCTATAAGCTCTGGGGTCGGTGGCTTGTAAAACTTGTCGAGTTTCTTCTTTGGGAGCTCGTCGGTTTCAAGAATATTAGGCAAAGACTTCACATCAATAACTTGACTGGCTTCCTGTAAACACAATAATAGTCTGTAAGTGACATATCAACTATAAGATGCATTCAAAATATCTTGTAGTTTTACATTGCTAACAATACTAGTATTTCATACAGACACTATGTATAGAAATTAGTCATTGCCTTACTTTTGATTTTAGTATCTTGGCCAGGTTATGTGCAGTGAGTATGGCCCTTGCGTTACTTAGTTCAACAGTTAGCTTCATAGCAGGCAGTGAGCCAGAGAGATTAGAGGGGGCAGGAGGCTTTACAACAACTGGTACAACACCTACAGCAAACAAAGAGAATGTAGACATTAGATCAAAATTGCAATCTATCATAGTGTTATTTCAAAGAGAAAAATCACAAAGTAAGAATATGATAAATTCATTTATTCTCAGTATGATTTTCAACCTCTAACTGAAGGTATTATTAGTTGTACTAACCGACATAGAGGCAGCCATATATAGCAGCAATGAGCTCAAGACTTGGAGAATAGACTAGCGCAGCATGATCCCCTGAATTGAGTTTAGCCTTTTCAATCAAACAGGCACCGATACGCTCGGCCTTCTTGTGCAACTGTAGCGTTGTGATAGATTTAACTGTATGGCCCTAAAAAAGATAGAAAAAGTATGAATAAAAATAATAAAGACACGAACATGTACGTATAAAAAATAATAATTACAATTACAGTATTTCTTACTCTAGAGTCCACTTGTGTATAAAGTATATCGTCAGCCCTGTTGACTGCTCTCCATTGAAGTGCATCGGATAAGAAGTCAAAAGAAGGTCCATCAGTTTCATCAGACCCACCGCCAGACAACGGAGCAGCAACTGCTTGATTTGTACGCCCTGTCACTAAATCTCCAATGATCTGTGCAGCCCCACTAATATTTGCTGTATAGAAAAAAATCACGTAAATATTACATAGAGAATGATACATTTGTCTATAGATTAGGTATTATGTATCAACTCTTACGTGGTGGTGACTTTGGGACTGGGAGATTGTTGATGCATCTTAATAAGGAAAGGAAAAGAATTATTATTATTATTATGAAATACAGTACAAACTATTCTCTCTTTCCCATTCTTACTGGTAAGGGCACATCAGTAAATTCACAGGATGCAGACTTCCCTCCATAAACTTTGCTCTAGTGTCCTGAACATGAACAGTTCCATCAGGATACTACATCATAAAAAACAAAATATTACGTCATAAAAGTACAACATATTTCTCTACACAATATTACAATAGAATAAAGACTGATTCTTCTTACCTTAGGCAGTTTTCCGTGTCCCACTAGTACAATACCGTACAAATAAATACCATGAATGCTCTCAGCAGCAGGGACAACACTATTCATCCACGTAAAGGCCTAGAAAAGTTAAATACGTTAAAATAAACATTATTAAATCATTCAATTTAATAGATTCAAATTGAGTGCAATGAGCAATTGCTTTGTATTATTGTGATTTCCCTTGCAAGTGTGTGACTCAATCATTCACATACAACCCTATAGCTTTCTTTTATCAAGTGTATAGTACAGTTAACCTACCACTTCATCGGTACAGTTAGGTTTCTGTTCAGCCACAACAACTACTCTTTCTTCCTTTAACACAGTCACTGAGAATATAGCAATCCTACACAAAAATACCCATTAATGAAGTGCAATAATAGCATCACAATAATACAAATATACCACTAATATTACATGCACATCAAATGCTAAAAGTAAAATCAAGAGTAGATGCTCTTGGTAAAATGTGATAATAATTAGTTATACCTTCCTTTGTATATAAACCCGTGTGGCTCAACGGCCATTACTGTAGCAATAAGGTCCTCAGTGTTGTGCCTCCTGTTTCCAATCTGTATGAGCCCGTTCATGTTACCACAGACGAACAAGAGGCCACCTTCACCAACAAAACCAAGCAAGCCACTGCGTACATAGCCACCTTGTATGATCCTGTCATTCTCATCAATTGGATCAACCTACACATACATAATACAATAGAATAAGAGAAATGAAGAAGGAGAGAAAGAGAAGAGAGAATAATAGGAGGGAAAGATAGAGGAAATGTATAGGAGACAGCTACAAAATAAGAGGCTCATATCTATGTATATGGAGTCATGCTGTCTTCAGAAACACAATAATTCTGAACCAAATAAAATTAAAACAGAAATACTTTATCATTGTTCAACTAATCCAACAAATACATATGACCATAACTCAAGGACAAAACATTGATACAACATAACAATCCTTTAGTAACACCATTGAGAATATTGCTATGGCATTTGGGAAACTTTGGTATCATTACAAATCATAGTTTATTCACTTTATTGCATGAATATATACACTTATACTTTAATGCTAAAGCATAAAATTATGCATATTTGTGTTTCTAATCTATTATTACCTTGAATGTGTTTGTTGATTTCCCTTGAAGGCCCCAATAAGTTGAGCCAGCTGCTGTTGTCTGTACGCAAATCTCACCAACCTCATCAGTTTTACATAAATAAGGTAAGCCATTTATTTTGATAACGGCAACACGAGCTATAGATAATAACAGAACAACAATAAAATAATGATAATGACAATAATAATAATAATAATGATGATTATTATAATAATAATATCAACGAGTGTACATGCTTTAATTTATTCATATATCTATTTTTAATGTTTTCTGTTTTTCCCAAAAGTAATTATAATATCAGAAATGATTATTAGGTTTCAGACTACATGAGGATGAGGTTAAGAGTACAGACACAACAAATGCCACACACACACACACACACACACACACACACACACACACACACACACACACACACACACACACACACACCCTTACCCTTACGATTGTACACGACTCAATGGTGATACTTACTGAATAGCACTACCAAGTACCAGCACAAAGAATGTACATACGGTTAAATTGCTTAAACTAACATACCCCATCAATGATAACTCATCTATCACTCAATAAACAAACCATAGGCACTATTATACTATTATACATAATACATTTAAGGAGGGAAATACATCATGTACATGTACCCCATTTAATATCATATGTACATGTACATATATATGTATTGTATACTGCACATGTACAGTATATGCACAAGTATAAATGTATAGACAGACCTCCAGGCATCACTAGACCAACATCTTGTAACGTGAGTGAGGTTATACTGCCTGGCTCTTCCACACGGACTACACCATAGCTTAATCCTGATATAGACATCACACCACGTCCACTGGGAGTATTGGGAGAGGGCCTATGGGGGAAAGGGAGAGGGTGAGAGGAGGGAGGGAGAGAGATGTGAATTACCTTCTCAGTGATAGAGTGAGTGTTTCTGGTGAGCCAGCACAAGGGCAGAGTGCTTCCCTGTTCAAACCTTTGACAGTAAAAGCTTCAAAAAACATGTCACTGGAAGCAAGTGACCCTAACAACAAGAAAGAGAGAGGAGAGAAAAAGAGCACATTAAATATATTATATATGAAATACAGTACATGTACATGCATGTATGTACATGTATATTTCATAATGGTATATGATTTCATCAGAAACATTTTCGTAAATGACAAAATGATTAACAGAATTGGTGAAAATGTCTCCTTTAGCAGCAATCCACACACAAGAGATGTACATGTACATGTACTAGGTGTGAGGAATAACTTACATGGATTAACGCCATCATCAAGCAAAATCATCCTAACATTGTCCAGTTTGAGATCTCTCATTTCTTTATGCTGTGAGAGCGATATGCAAGCACTTATAGAATGGGATGAGCTGATAACAGACGTAGCTACATAAAAGGAAATACATGTACATAATGTCACATGATGATATACTGATAGCAACAAAATGATAGTAATTTTCCAATTAAACTTGCATTATAGACAATTAAGCAGAAATGTGCTGGCACAAGCTACAAAATGAGGCACAGTATTAAGTAGACAAACCTACTTCATATACAAATAATAATACCCATAAAAGAGCGTGTATCTCTGTTTGTCTCTCATGCAAGCTTATAATGGAAGAATGACTGTCTATATACCTTTCTGCTTTGTGATCATGTGTAGCCAGACAGTGGGGAGTGTTGCCATCACTGTAGGAGGAACAAAGACGACATGGAGACCATTGTAAGCAGCCTGGGGATGAGAGGAGAGAAGAGAGAAAGAATGTATTAAGAAAAAGGAAAATAATGGAAATAAAAAGATGGGGGAAAGAAAAGAAGTATAAGTATATGCATGCATAATAGTTAAAATGACAACAAAACAGTTAAAGAGGCTATCAACATCTACTCTTGGCATCAATAATATCAAAATTGGTTACATAAAGAACATCCGTGCATGTATGTACATGTACATGTACATGTACATAAGGGCATGCAGAGCTAAGTGTCCAATGTGATGCATATAAACTCACAGCCATAATTCCATGCCAGAGTCCAATGGACCTCTTTGGGTCTTCAGTACACACAACCACTTCACCTACATGTAATATAGGTAATAATGCATAACCAAATTAGAGTAAACAAGAGAGAGATATTTACATGAGAAGGAAGCTAAACATGCCTGCCATGCCCAAAACAAACAGGCTATACCTATAATGTCGTGTAAACAAACCTTCTTTGTATTGACAGGCAGTTGTGAGTGATCTACAATGAGTCAGCAATGCACCACGAGTGACTGTCACACCAAGAGCTGAGCCATCCTTAGCAGTAGTAAACTATAAAGGAAAGGAGGTAGTAGGAAAACAGCTAATACATGTACATGTACATGTACATGCACATGCATATAAGTATAGGGTATGTACTAAAAGCATCTCTAAGATAATTTGGCACAAACTATAGTTGTGGCTTTTTGCTTCCTTGGTAATAAAATAAAGATTGTTATATAAAATTACTGAAGATTTCACACTAATACAACATGAATGATGTTCACAAGTTATAAGAAAAGCCCAAAACGAATGCTAGTAAGTTTAATATTAATTTTTCATAACATAATACCAAGTTAATTTAATATACACTGTAGTATTGGTACCTCAATGTAAGCGGTGGTGTCAGGGGAGGGGCGGGGAGGCGGAGTGAAATCACGCGACGGCTTAGGAAGATGATCAATGGAAAACCAAGTCAATCTGGGCCAGCCTAATATACAGGAAGAGTAATTATCATAATAAAATTAAAGCTGTAATTATTGCAATAAAACATTATAGGAACTGTTTAAAATTATAAGACTTAGAAAACAGTATTTATATATATATATATAAAGTATAATATTATTGTTATTATTCATACAATAGCACATGCATGTCATAATGTGAATGAAATGACAAGGGGTACATGTACCTAACAAAGCACTAAACAACTTGTCCTCTAACAAAACGAGGACTAAGAGGAGCTGTATACACTTATGTACCAGCTCTGATGTAATATTGTTTATACTTACTACATTTTATTAGTTTAAATGTACATGTATACATCAACACAGAAACTATAGATGTTATCATTACAGTCTGCTGTGTGTGATAGCAGCTAAAATTGTATTAATATTCAAAATTAATTATTAAAATGCTAATCTGGATAATGTTACCTTTAAAGTGAATAATGAAGTCCTTTCCTTCCTCTTTAGGCAGTGACTTGACAGTAGTGTCACTAGTTATGGCAACAGTTACTCCTAAACTGTTTAATAAGAATCCTATCTGTTGTCCACCAGGATCCTATGATAACAAAGAGAGAAGGAGTTAAGAAATAAAGGAAAGTTGGAGGACAAAGTTAAAGTAGAGGCAGTACATGAGAGAGGGAGGGAGGGAGGGAAAGGTTGAAATGTAAACAATTGTTTAAAATGTTAACAAACACAATCAATTATTTGTCAGTCAACAAATCAATAAACATCAATGGGTGAAATTAACAGACGAATTTATTAGCAATCAAAATATTAAAGAGAAAGAGAGGGAGTGATCTTACATCTCTTGATAAAGGAGGATGAATTGCAACTGGTATGATAGCAGCATACAGACAACCCCAGAAAGCACTGGCAAAAGTAGCAGCTTCATCATTTCTGAACACAAGAGCAACCTAAATCATAACATAGAGTAACATATTACCGGTGTGTTTAAATAATAAAATCTGATTCTAAATTTCTAATAATATCATATGACTAGTGTTTGATGTCATGTGACACATACATGTACATGCATTTAAGGTAATAGAACTAACTGGATGTGACTAAACCAACAGCATGAATCTGCAGATTATATTCATAACATCATACAACACACACACAAATACAAAGATACACACACACATGCTGCATAGAACAAAAGCAACAGGTGGACTGATACAACTATTACTACTAAACTTTAAAAATGATATATTGTAAGACATAAATGTATATATACATGTATATTTAAACTGGAACTGTACTATATATGATAGCCTTGAGTATATAATACATACACATAATTATTCTACAGTAATATTATACATATACATGTACATGTACATGTACATATACATTGTAGATGAATGCATGCACTGTAATTATGAAGAATTGAAGATAAATAAAAAATGATGTACACATTATATCTACAATACAACTTAAATGCTAGGAATGTACCTGTGTATGTACAGTACACACTTACTCTGTCACCAGGTTGGATTTGTTTACCACCTCCTAACTTGTTGAGCAAGAAATGAGCCACTTTCTGTGACCTGAGAGCCAGTTTACCTAATAATAATAACAATAATAATAATGATAATAATAATAATGATAATAATAATAATAATAATAAAATAATAATAATAATAAGAGGAGGAGGAGAGTGAGTGGGAATGACACACATGACAGATGTAAAGTAAAATTATAAGGGAGAAAAGAAATAAGAGTAGATACTGTAGTAACACTTTTGGTAGTAAATATAGAACTATATGTAAACAAGATAGGGGACAATTAATATGTACATAAATGATGCATACATGCAAATACATATACATGTAGTTACAATATACCAGTACATGATTGTGTGCATAAATTAAAATGTTATCGTACTATAAGTGCAAGCAACTGATGCCTTTCCGTGACTATCAACGACAGATATAGCAGGATGCTTCCCAAGTGTGGAGCTATGGTGCTGTATGGCCGCTTCAAGATTACGGTGCCAATCTTGACGACTCTAAGAAATATTAATAATATAATTTACCAAATGGAGCAAGAATTATAATAATGGAATAATGGTAATGAGTAATAGAAATGAAGCAAAATGTGTGTGATAGCTAGAGAGAAGAGTTTATTTTTGTGATGTCTGCATTACCTCCAGTGGTACGCCAGACACAGGCTGCATTGTTGGGCCAACAGGTCTGGGGGCTGAAGGATCTTCAGCAGGTCTAGCCTCTACAAACAAAAAATAATAATAATAATAATAATAATAATAATAATAATAATAATAATTTTTAAAGTCATAATCAAGAACACTAGCACAAAGGTACATGTATTTCATGACAATCAAATGCTATTGTTGGATTTATTATTCCATTCTCAGATGTACATGTACATGTACTCAACACTGGATCACTAACCTGCTATATCTTCGTCTCTGAAATATTCCTCAATAGGTCTCCGGTTCTTCTTGGGTCTCTTTAATGTGTTCAGGAGCTGTTGAATCTTGTGTGACACGCCTCCTTTGGCAGCCCCAGGGCCTCCTCCTCCACCAGTCATACCTTCAACTATTAATAAAAGTCATGTGACTATCACACGATACAGTGTAATCTATATGTACACACCATTTTGAGGTCTTGCTGGAGCTCTACGCGGCTTGGGAGCAGTAGGAGGAGCAACACCCTACAATAAACAAGAGAGAGAAGACATGAAATATTAAACATGAGAGCCTTTAAGCATACGTGAGTAAGAGATCCTGATCCTCCTCCTCCTCCAAAGCTGCTTCCTCTACTCTCTTGCGAGAGAGCCTCAGAGCTAGGGGAAGGAGACACTGAGAGGAGTGGTACCAGACCACCGGTGTTACGACGGAATGACATCGGCTGTAACTCAGGCCCATGCTCATGCCTGTTCCTTTCCAAAGCAGCCTGTACCATGGCTGACCTGGCATCTAATGGAGAGAGAGAGAGAGAGAGAGAGAGAGAGAGAGTGAGTGAGTGAGAGAGAGAGAGTGAGATTCACTACTGTCCCGGTCACCATGATGTACTATGATTTGATTATGGTAGGAGATGTGTGCATATGTAATTGAGTGGCAATTGGCAAGACAACAGCAGCTGCTTGATACCAATAATAAAAAATAACATTAAGATAGTAAACAAGTCCGATCGATATAAAATTAAATTACCATATTCACACACATGCTAATGAATGAAGTTTGAATTCACTTTTCTATGAATACAAAAAATGTTGACCTTTTATAATGAAGATGTATTCCATACTGAATACTCTACCGTATTTGGGTGCAATAATTATGATTGCAAAAAACAATAAACATTGCTATCAGTAAATAACATAAGTAAAACAAAATTATAAATTCTCTTTCATATAAACGTATATGCACGTAACTTGATAAACCAAGTATATACATACATACATGTACATACTCAGTTTACTAACCTACAAGTAGCTTTTCTCTCTACTTTCCCTCTCTCTCTCTCTCTCATCATAATCTTCACATTATCATTCCTGTACAATAATAATTATAGACTACAAACTTACGCGATTCTACATGATGTTGATGTGAATCGTGTTCAACGTAAGCAGGAGGTTGAGGAGAAGACGAACGACCCGACGAATTACTACCCAGAGACCCAGTACCATCTACATGTACACAACAAATAGGACTATGACATATAATGGATACTGATACCTGATATGGTCAGGTAAGGCGCAAGGAGTTTAGCTTTCTTCTTCTCGAAGCCCTGCTGAGTAATGTCGCCTGTGAAGAGAATGTGAAGCAAGTTATGCATGTACATGGAGATGCAAATGAATCAAAATGAAGCACCAATTATTATAATTAGCAAGATTAAAGTGTCGAAAGTACATGTATATAATTAATATGATTATAGGGTAGTTTACAGTTTGATTGAGGATAAGATACAGAGTATGGATAGGCTAGACAATGGCCAGACAGAAAACCATACAACTTTAAAAGAGTCATTCGTCACATCAGTAAGACACAAGGGCATATAAACATAACACAATCTGTTGACATAAAGCTACATTAATGGTATTGTATAATATTATGAACAAATAAAGCTTCATTGTATAGGGGAGCACATTAAAGACTAACAAGACCTAATTCTCAAAAGAATATCCAATTACATTAAAAGGGACACTGAGGGCAATCATAAAGGGCTACCCACCTTCGTTTAGTTCTTCCTCTAGCGCTCTTATCTTTTCTAGCACGTCAGGGGGCACCCCGTGAAGTTCAACGCTAGCCATGTCTTAGGGATCTAGAGCTAGCGCGACAGAAATAAAAGAACGAGACAGATAGGAAAGAGAGAGAAGAAGATAGGGTGCACACACACAGGTCTAATAAAATATCCGGAGAAAATTAATCCGTACACAAACCGTTAACCTCAAAGGCGTGGTCAAATGACATACTCCACCCACTTTGTGATTAGATTTTTTATAAAAATTGCAAAGTGTAAATAAGCCAAATTTACACTCAGCTGAGCTGAAGTCATCGAAATGACGAGCTCACAGGCGAATGGTGGAACTTCAAAATGGACCCCTCAGCTAGCTGCTCATGATGGCAAGAAAGACTACCGTCGAAAAGTGAAGTATAATCCATTGTGTAGGGCATTCTTCTGGTTAGTGTAATACATATATTATCTATAATTAGACCTTATGTAATAGCTGGGTGGACCCACTCTTCTGGCTGGGCTGTGGACGTAGTCTTGAATTTAGTGATTTATATGCTCACCCACCTGAAGCTGATTCCAAATATCTTCTAGAGAAATTTAACAAGTAAAATACCAGCTATGTTAGCGATAATAAAGAATCCTTCTTATTAGATATTGGTCAGTGGAGCTGCAGAGAAGGAGAGAGGGCCGTTCTCCAAGATTGCTTCTGGTATGGGTGAAAATTTTCTGGTGGAGAGTCCTATTCCAAGGGCTACTTGTATTTTTACAGGTTAGCTGTTATTATCATTTTAGTAAAAATTATAAATAACTTCATATTATATAGATCTGTTGCATGGCAGGAGTAGCTGAAATATTAGGTTACATAACTGATTATTTTGTTATTGAGTCCCCTACAGCAGCGGATACAAGAAATGCTTACCTTTATGCAGTGGGACTTGGTCTAGTGTCATTGTGTATTATGCTCTGCCATGCAATGTGCTTCCATATAGCAACACTACTTGGAATGTATACTAGGATAATAATGACTGCAGCTTCTTACAATAAAGTATCTAAAGTTATTTGATAGTGTTATTTTTTATTATTTTTTATTGCAGATACTTTCTCTTAGTCAGACTGCAATAGGTCAGTTGACAGTTGGGCATATTGTTAATTTAGCCTCAAATGATGTTCACAAATTTGATCAAGTGAGTCATCTCAATGCTATTTCTTAGCATTAACACTTGATGTAGGCATTTCTAATGTATCATTACCTGTGGATTGGCCCCTTACATGTGATATTGACCACATACTTGATGTTTCTTGAAGTTCAGTGGAGTGCATTCATAGCTACTGCACTTCTTGTGCTTCAGATACCATTGCAGTCAGTACTTGCTAAAGTTTTTACCAAAATAAAGTGAGGATTGACTTTCAATGGAGGCAATGCACTGTGCTCCAATCATAGATTGAAAGCTGCCAGATTAACTGATAAAAGAGTAAAGGTCATGAATGAGGTTATCAGTGGAATCAGAGTCATTAAGATGTATGCATGGGAATATGCTTTCAGTGATGTAGTGGCAGCTATTAGAAAGTAATGCTAATTTATATCATACTGTCATCCCTTATGTGTTCTGCACAGATCCGAGATTTATAAGCTTCTACAGTTTTTTGCCTTCTTTTCAGTGAGCAGTCTGTATGAGGCCATTTCAAGGACTACCATTATGTTTTTGGTCTTCTCTGTCTATGTTAACATATCTGAGGAGGAACTAACTCCTAGAAAGGTCTTTGTCTCACTGTCTTTGATCCAATTTGTTCGCTTGACATCAATTCGTTTCCTTATCATATGCATACAACTTCTGTCAAATGGAAGAGTTGCATGGATAAGGATAAAAGTAAGGAAGTATAGCTCCCTGTCTTATATATAAGGGATTGTCTATGCAGAATTTGCTTCTTATGGATGATTACTGGACCAATAACATACAAGAATATCAAAACATAAATAATTCAGAAGGTAATGAATGTTATTTTTATGGCCATTTTGTTAACTGTACATATATAGATCCTACTGTTATCTGTCTACAGCCAATGCCTAGTGATAGTGGTGCTAATGAAGTAATAGTAGAGGATTTAACTGCTTCTTGGTCAATGGATGAAAATAAATTGTCACTAAGCAACATATCTTTTACTGTCAATAAAGTAATTAAGTGATAATGATTTAGTGATATTTTTAATAATTATTATTTTAGGAGAAACCATTGCTAGCTGTTGTGGGTAAAGTTGGTTGTGGCAAGGTTAGTACTTAATGCATTATGATTTGTTTTAATCAGCACACACAGTCTACTCTTCTTCAGTGTCTATTAAAAGAGCTACCTGCTTTGAGTGGTACGGCAATGGTTAAAGGATCAATTGGGTATGCTAGTCAAGAAGCATGGGTGTTCTCAGCTACACTGAGGGACAATATACTGT